TAATCCATGTCTTTGTTGTTTTATTTTTCAGTATAATCGTTTTGATATTAAAATAATAAATGCTTTAAAATATTATTTTACATAATAAATTATACTGATCTTAGAATTGATTATGAGTTATTTTTTCTATTATAATAATAATAATTTAACTGGAATAATAAATAAAATCATTTCATTATTATTTTATTTATATCTTATTTTAACTTATCGAAGGTATTTTTTCATTCTAATTTTTTCCTGTTTCACTTTATTTCATATCATCGAAATGAAGTATTAGACTTAAACGAAAAGATAAGGTTGTAGATATTTTGTTAGAAGATAAGGCTTCATTTTTTTTAGTGTTAATCACTTTGGTCCCTATTTCAGTCAAAAACAGAAAAAATTCTCTGAAACATCTACGCTGCGTGTCGAGAAAATTGGCCTGATATGACATTACGAAACGACAATGCAATTTCGAATATTTGATAACACAACGCTTCCAAGTTTCAACAAAATGTCTCTTTTTGCCTCTATAGCCAGTTAGGTAGATTTCATAAAGTATCTCCATAAGAAGGACATTTTTTTAGCAAGGTAGATTTCATAAAGTATCACCAGAAGGGTGTGCTTACTTTGAATGGTGGATTTGAGGAGACGAAATAGATGTATTTTAAAGATTTTAGAGTAAATTGAGTGTTGTATTTTTAAAAGGATTTGTGGGTGAGTGAAAATAAAATTGAAAGTGAAATTTGTAAAAAATAATATAAAATTTGACATATGTAATGTAACAAAAAAAATATATTTAAATTTATAAAAAATAAAAATTATCAAAATATGATAACAATAATATAAATAATATTTATTAATAATATATTTATTGATAAAAAAAATATTATAAAGAGAAAAAAAATAAAAAATATTTTTTAAATAAAATAATTAAAACAATATATTTTCTAAGATTATTATTATTATTATTATTATTATTATTATTATTATTATTATTATTATTATTATTATTATTATTATTATTATTATTATTATTATTATTATTATTATTATTATTATTATTACTATTATTATTATTATTAACTACATGTACTTTCTTCATTATCAATTATTCACATTTTCAACTTTTCTCATATTCACATCAATAGAGCATAGTATCATTAATAGCAATGGCTATTTTGTAATTTTGTTTTCTATATGATAAAAAAATTCCGTGTCTACATATATTCGCAGATAAAATCCACGACGGATAGCTGGTACTTGGAGATATTTACTATCCGTAGATATCAGTTACTTGCAAAAAATATAAATAAAAATTTAATTTATATTTTATTATGTTAAATGTGATTAAAATTAAAATTAATTTATATTTTATAAGGTTAAATTTAATTAAAATTTAATTTTAATTTATATTTCATTTAATTTATATTATATTTTATATAATTTTGTAATTTTATTTTAATAACTTATAAAAATATATTTTTTTAAATATTTGCAAGTATTCGCGGTTTTAAAATATTCGCAGGTATTTTTAATGCAGGTATTCATGCGGGTAGTGGATTAGATAGTGGGTAATTTTTTTTTTCGAATCGTGTTGCGGGTGACACTATCTATGTCCGACCCGACCCATTGTCATTCCTACTTATGAGGGATTGTTTTTAATCCACATCCCCACCCACAAATCCACCCAAATAAGATAAATTCATCCATTTTCTTCATTTTCCTTTCTCACCAACCGTGCATTGATTATCCTAAAGTGAACACGAAGTTAGTGATATGTTTAATGAAAAATAAGTAGGAGAAAACAAATGATAAAGAAAATTTTTTAAAAAATAAAGTAAAAAATTGAATAGAAATTAATTGAGACTTTTGATTTGTAAACTAATTATATTTTTTATTAATAATAAAAAATATTTAAAATAACGATAATTTTTAGTGTATAAATTAATATATAACTTAGTTAATATAATGATTTTTTTTCTAAATTAATTGTTATTTAATAATTTTATTATAATGTAAAAATATTTAATAAAATAAATATTATAACCTATTTTGTTTTAATTATGTCACTATTATTTATTTAACATTTTACAGTTGTTTAATATCAATGTTATTTTTATTTACCATGTATTATATCGTGTGAAAATAGTGAGACGTTCAATTATGTGTAGTTAAAAAATGATAATAATTAATAATGATTAGGTTCTTATAAGGAATTGTGCTTTTTGTATAATCTTCGTTTTTAAGAATCAAATACGATTCAAATGTTCATAGTGAAAAACTTTACTATACATCCACCAACAAAATAAAATTACTTTTTAACTCTTAAAGTTGTTTTTGTTTATTTGACTTGATAGTAATTATAGGTAACTAACTCAAATACGCTAAAAATTAATCTATGTATGTTTGATTTTTAATCGCAGTTAAATCAGTTTGTTGAGAATATAACTCTAAGGAACAATTTAATGAAAATGGTAGTGTAACAAAGATAAGAGAAACTAATTTTAAGTCTTGCACTTTTGATTGAGTTAGATTGTTTGGTACATTTTAATTTTGCCTATAAATAAATTTTGCTTGAAGTGTGAAATTGGTTGAATTATAAATTTGTCATCTCGTGTTAATAAGATCTTTTGATACGTAAATTTGGATTGAATATGTGAATTAATACCTCTATTGATAATGTGTTATGTTATAAAAAAAATAGTTTGTTTTTACTATAATGAATATGAGTATACTTCATAAAGTTAAAGGTATTGTTTGAAATGCAGATTATGTGTTGAAGTTAGATAGACTCGTTGGGCAAACATGTTTTCTACTAAACCAGTGCTAAATTTGAGTTTGGTAGAGAATCAATGGAGATCAAAAGCCAAATTCAAGTTTAGCGAAGAGTCAGGGAAGACTTAATAGTTGGATGAGTTTACTCTCGTTGGACAAATCTATTTGTAGTTATGTTTGTAAGAGTAGGAAAGTGGGTGAATGAGAAAGAAATATTGAATCAGTGATTTGTATTAGATTTGTGATTATATAGGAAAAATACTGTACTTGTTAATTTAATGTTATGCATTGATTGGAGATACACATCATGAACGATGGTAACCTCTACTAGACATTTGACTCATAGATCATGAAGTTTAGGTGATAAGAGTTAAAGAAGGCTCATATGATGGGAAACTCTTTTTTTGGATACACTATAAGCAAACTCACACTATCATGATGAGATTGTGACCGTGAAGTTTAACATAGTCGATCAAAACAAATGTTTCATAATCTCGTCACATGTATACGACTTTTAATTTCCAATTCAATAATTCAATGCATAAATCCAGAATTAAGTTTTGTATAATTATATCATAAGGAATACTTTGTGCTCTCGGTATAGATAAATGCTAATTTTTGTTGGCTTTATGTCTTTAGGTAGTATATTATTAAAAAATTATGAAATATCTATGTTTAAAATTATTTCTAGTTTACCCTATATCTTTTAGTGTGTTTTTTTTGTGTTTCTCTTTTACAATTATTTTTATAATGGCTTGAGTAGATAAATATACTGGTGAGAGTGATGCTAAGTTACACGAAAGATTTGATTAAGTATAAGTTTTATGTTTCATGATTATATATGTTATCAAGTACAATGTCCAAATTTATATTATTTTAATTTAAAGAGTTAATTATTTTAAATTAATTATAATAGAATCAATAATTATTAGTAATAACTTAATCATTAGCATTCTGCTTTATAAAATTGTAAGAAAAGAAGTTTATGACATTAATCATGCTCAAAGATCAATTGCATGAAACTTGCCTACGCATTACAGACAAAGAAAGCCCTCCCCTTCCCATTTTGTCGTTATGTTAACAACTTGTTCCGAGAATAAGAATTAGTTTTGAAAATAAATATAAGGTATTAATATTTTAAAGGTATATGTTATAGAATGTTTATCATATACAAAAGTATTTCATAATTTTTATTTTTATTTTCTATAATAACGGTTGATAAAATAGATTTATGAACCGTTATTCATATTCATTATATATTTATCATATTCATTATTTAACTTGATATAGTATTCATAAATAAATAACATAATCTTATACTTAAAACTTTTCATTATAAATTTATTATAATATTTTAATAAATATTAATACACTTAAAATACAAGAGAATCAAACTATACAAAATTTGGGAACTGTTTTATGTTGTTAACTAACTCAAAATATAAAATATTATATTTGAAATATTATACATACATATATATATATATATATATATATATATATTATATGTATACACACACGTATATGTTATATTTAAAAATAATAAAAAATATGATTCTTTTTCTTCAGTTGCAAACAAAATTCAAAAGTAAATTGTTGTATTAAAGAAAAAATAGATAAAACAATTTAAATTTGGTTTAAATTATGTGGTTAAATTTTGAAGACCTCTATTTACAATATCACTCTTTGCTCATCTTCAAAATTTTAAAAATAAAACCTTAAATAATTTAGTAATCAAAATATAAAGTTATATCAAGTTCAATTTTGTAATGAAAGTTTTTTGAGAAATCACTTATGATAAGAATAAGGACTATTTTTTAATAATTTTTTGACAATAAATTATGTGTCACTGTTTTATTGGTCCATATATTTGAAAGAGACCAATCACAAGCTATCATATAGAAAGTTGTTAAAAAATTGGTAAAAGAGATGGTGAAAAGAACATTTTCCACAAAGGAAAATAACTTTTTAACAACTTTTTTTTGACAATTTTTTCACAACAACTTACGTGGTAGCTTGTGATTGGTCCGTTTCAAATATACGGACCAATAAAATAGTGCACGTAGTCTCTTGTAAAAAAATTATTAAAAAAAATGGTTAAAATATATTGGTCCTTAGATCAATCTGATGTATTAGATAGATACATGGGACAAAAATTATTGTGTAATGAGTTTAATATTCATCATTTGTTTTCTTTAGTACTACACCAGAAGAAATCTACTGTGAGATAGATAACAATGGAATCTAGCATAAATGCTTTCATGATTAAAAACGCATTTTTTTCCTGTTACATTCAATATTCCACACTCCGGCTCAGAAGCAATGGCCTCAGGTAATGGAGCAACACAAAGCCCAAGCTGCACCATAAACTAGGCTTTCATAAACGATTCCTTCAGGACAATTTCAACATACATATAACACAAAAGTTGGTGATGTAAAACGTAAACCAGAATCATATCTGGAATCGATCATGAACTTTTAGTGATCAATATTGCCTCCTTTATCAAGTGCTCACAACTATGTGGACTGTTCGTACTCCGTAACTGTACCATATAGCAACTAAAAAAAAAAGGAAAAAGAAAAAGGTAAGAGACTTTTACAGATACATATAGTTTAATAATAAACTTGCTATGATATATATAATCATCTTGCTCATGCATGGTTGGGAGTGTAAGAACACGACAGTGTTGTCCTCAACCAGCAGAAATTATTACATGTTTGGAGACTATTATTCCGAGTACTTATCTATGTATAATATTCTTATACTTTCAAGTTCGTAGGAAGGGTTAACAATGTGTGACACAGGTACATGATTTCGGATCAGTAGAATGTTGTGGGACACTAAGGTTGTTGTTTGGGGATGTCAACACCATCAACGTTTCTGAACCAAAATATCTGGTTCAAACGAGCTGCATCCTCTGGAACATCTTCCATCACCCACTCATGTCCTTTCGGGAAGTAAATTCCTGTGCGTGGGTGTGGGACCCACCAAGAGGAATCCTCTATCCTCCTACCAGTCTTTGAGACTTCTGCAGAGCTTTCTGCAGTAGAAGCCTGAGCAGTACCAGAGAATTTGTTTCGTCCACTCTTTGCTCTCTTAGCTCCCCTGCAGTTAAAGCTTGATCTTTTCAACTTCTCCACAAAAAGAAAAAAAGAAAAAAAAAAGTCTGAAAAGGTTATAAAACATCTTCTCCATGAATTCACCAAATCGGTGTTTGATTGAGTGGAAATACTGTATTGAAAGCAGACAGAAAGACTATGATGTTGATAAATGGTAAAAACTATGTAGGAGATGAGAAAAGTTACCCCAGAAGCAACAAGTTTGATTTGGTGATGCCTCCTCTAACCATTAGCTGCAAGAAACGGAATAAGTAATAAGTGAATGATTGCAGTACTGTCTGGTACAACAAAATGTGTCAAGACACGAAGGCTGCTTTAGGAAGTATGGAGAGCCTATGAGGGTATTTATAATGACAAGAATAGTGTAGCAATAGCAAGTGGTGGAATAAGTTCGAACGCACGTGTGAGGCACGAAACGATATATTTTAGATGTGAAAGGCGAAAAGGGTTGTTTGTGTATTATTGTGCTGTGGAAATGAATCTGCGGCTATAAAAGCTTGCTTTGGATACAAAACGTTTCTAGAAATGGGAGGGAGTTATAAAATTGTGGATTTTTTCTTCCAATTATTTGATCTCCTATCTGCAGGACGATATGGAGGTGTGGCATTGTACTTAGAAAGTTTTTTTTGTGTTATTTAATTATTGTTCTGATGAATCGATCGTAGAAGGGTCCGTTGTCCGTTGTGTTGTATTGTGTCTCGTGTGTAATCCGTGTGAGAATAGATGCTATGAGGAGTATGGTGTTTTGTTCTTCTTTTTCAATATACCAATTTAACACCATCAATGAGTTTAAGCGCGTGCATAAAAGAGTTGAGCTAGTTATAAAAGTGGAAATAAACAAGTGGGTGAGTGGGTGCATTAGAAAGCAGACTTAGTATGTAGCTGCTCTTATTCACACATACTTTTGTAATTTCTCCTCAAAAACCAAATATAATTAATATGTAATTGTATGGTGACCCTGGATGGCTTCGACGAGCGGTACTCGAGAAACATCAAAGCCGGACGATTGAGACGGGTAGGTTTCCGAACATGATTAAAGTAAAACACCAATTAAGAATGATGAGACTGTGGATTGGACCATGATTAATGTTTTGCTAATTCAAAATCCACCACCAAAACTATAAATACAGATCAACGATGAGAGGTAGACAAATTCATTAATTACGCATTTATTACTGCACTTAACTTACCGATCGGACTATTACTGACTTTGGCATCAGAGCACCTATAACAGCTACACCTTCGGTCGGTGCACAAGTGTATGGAAAAAATTGTGCAGGATTTAGGTGACTTGACCCGTACCGGAACAGTAAAATTAATGGATGAAGAGGCTTTATTCACTATTAAATGCTTCTTGAAGGGTACAATTGTTGTTTTAAAAAAAAAAAATCTATGCCTTAATTTCCCAGTTAACTATCTCATGAATGAACATAACTTTACCATAGAATAAAACAAAAGCTTACAAGAATAAAACATCACCTATGTACATGCACCTGCCTTGGGTATTCGAATATGTCGTTTCATATCAAATGTTCATTTTACACATTATAAGTCAAACTTCGACTCTTAAGAGCATACTCAGATTTAGATCAATATGTGTTAGTGGAAACTTCAAATTGTAATGAGGTAGTGAAATTTGACCAGTTAATAAATTGGTTTATATTGGAAGAGACATCATATATTTTGTGACGGAAATTAATGTGGATTGCATTTATTATTGTTAGCCGGCTTCACCATTTTATCCTTAAAAAACATATTGAAGATTGAAAGAAGAAAGAAATACTTCAACTATATTTGATTTTAAATTTTAAAAAATGTGAAACTATTGAGTGTAATAAATTTTAAATAAATAATTCAAGTTATTCTTATTGTTTATTTGATTTATTTTCATAATTCTTATGATAAATATTATAGAGAATTAAATTTTATTTTATTTATTAAAAATATAATTTTATATGTTAAATATTCTATATTAAGTTATTAAATTTATAATAGAAATCACACAAATGTAATTATTTTTTTAAACTTAGCTACGTTTTTAAATCGGTTTATGAACATAGATTTTTATTTTATTGTCGACTTTGTTTTCAGTGAGTATGAAACTGTAATTATAGTTTCGTTAATTATATCTTTTTTGGAATATTTATTTATAGTATTAAGAATTATGTTTAAAACATTGAAATAAATCATTAAGTATGATTATTTAATTAATACTATTAATTAAATAATAGGTTTGATTTTTATATACTAATAAGAAGAAGAATGTGTATTAATACGAAAAATTATAAGTATAATCTTTATGATAATTTTTCAAAAGACAGTTATATCACATATGTCAATTTTTGTTATTCCATCACAGTGTACAAAATTTGTATTAATGATATAAACACACACACACACACACA